TTTTTTTTTTTTTTGTTTTTTGTTTTTTGGGTTTTTTTTGTGTTTTTTTTGAGACAGGATTTCTCTGTGGCTTTGCAGGCTGTCCTGGAACTAGCTCTTGTAGACTAGACTGGTCACAAACTCACAGAGATCTGCCTACCCCCCCTGATGACCTAGTTTTGAGCTCCAGAACCCATATAAAGGGAAAGCAAAGAACCAATTCCACAAAGTTATCTAAGACTTCTTTAGGAAAGCACCAAATAGTAGTAACCCTGGTGCAGCTGGGGATTCACCATGGCCAGGGGCCTCAGCTTTGGGCTGGGGTGGGAGGCATCCTTGAAGGCATCCATGTCACCAAGCGGGGCCTCCTGTCAAGGACATAGAGAATCAAGTACCCAGGAGAGATCTACCTGCTGTCCTTGCCATCAAGAAGTCTGACATTACTGATTGTGTTTTTCTGGGTTGCACACCTTAAGTTGAAGTTTTGAGAAATCATGGCAGTACAGAAGCAGACCTGGCGGGTGGAGCAGCTTCAAGGAGCTTTGTGGTGTTGTTGTAGTCGTCACTACTGGGGACTACAATAGTCACATTGGTTTGGGCATTAAGTGTTCCAAGGAGGTAGCCACTGGCCATCCTAGAGCCCATCATCTTGTTAAACTTTCCATTGTTTTTGTGGGAGAGGCTATTAGGTGAATACATTGGAAAGTCCCATGCTGTCCCACTCAAGGTGACAGATCCCGGTCTTCCTGGGCAACTTCTCAAAAGCCACCTTTGATGCCGTCTCCAGACCTACAGTTATCTGACCTGTGTAAAGAGACTCTGCTTACGGGCTGGAGAGATGGCTCAGGGCTTAAGAGCACTGGCTGCTCTTCCAGAGAACCTGAGTTCAAGTCCCAGCAATCACATGATGGCTCACAGCCATCTATAGAGAGATCTGGTGCCCTCTTCTGGTCTGCTGGGATACATGAGACCAACCACTATATACATAATAAATAAATAAACCTTTAAAAAGAGAGAGAGAGAGAGAGAGAGAGAGAGAGAGAGAGAGAGAGAGAGAGAGAGAGAGAGAGACTCAGCTTACTAAGTCTCCCCGTTAGGAGATCACCAACCATGATGTGAAAACCCACAAGAGCCTCTGTGCAGAGAACCCAGGCTCCAGCTATAACTATCACATAGGGTTTTTATACATGAAAAATAAAGCGAGGGGCTGGAGAGATGGCTGAGCAGTTAAAGGCACATATTGCTCTTGCAGAAGACCTAAGTTCAGGTCATAACACCTACATCAGGTGGTTTACCACCGTGTTACTCCAGCTCCAGGGTATCTGATGCCTCCTCTGGCCTACATGGGCACCTATACTCATGTGCACATGCCCCATTGCCATTCCCACATGCATACACAATACACACACACACACACACACACACACACACACACACACACACGAATCCCTGAGTGAGTAAAGTCCTGAGTGAATGAGTGTTGTTAACATGGGCATTGCTATACTAAATATCCTGATGCCTCAGCCCTATGTGCATGGCAAAGCCTCCTCTTGGCCAGGTTCACAATGATGGCAAAGGCTTCCTGGGGGTTCAAGTGAGAGAGATTGATTGAGGTGTACAAAACCGAGCAACAACTACAGCTTCTTCCTGTCAGATGTTTACAGCTGAGACTGTTCATTGATAACATGCACAGACTACCTAACTCCTGCCTCTATGCTGAACATAGTGAACACGCCGAGGTTCTGGGCTGTTACTGGTGGGACTCCATCAGAGCTCACTCAACACAGCTGACGCCAGCTTTTCTGTTCCTGGTCTGCTCATCTGTTCTTTCTTCATTCCCTCTCTGCCTCAAGGGTTCCAAGATAGAGCCACATAAGATATGGCAAAAGCCGGGTGTTGGTGGTGCACGCCTTTAATCCCAGCACTCGGGAGGCAGAGGCAGGCGGATCTCTGTAAGTTCGAGACCAGCCTGGACTACCAAGCGAGTTCCAGGACAGCCTCCAAAGCCACAGAGAAACCCTGTCTCGAAAAACAAAACAAAACAACAACAAAAAAAAGATATGGCAAAAAAAAAGAATATGAATCAAACTTGCTATTTTACTTTGTGTGAGTATTTTGCCTATGTATATTGTCTATGCACTACTTGCATGCCTGGTCACTGAGGAGGTCGAAAGAGGATGTGCAGGAAGTAAGTAAAAGACATCCAGTGGAGCTGGAGTTCCAGGTGGTGGTGAGCTACCATGTGGGTGCTGGGAACCAAACCCACGTCCTCCCCAAGAGCAGCAAGTGCTGAAGCACTGAGCCATCTCTCCAGCCTCCCGCTTTGTTTTGTCTCTGTTTCCAAGGAAGGTCTCCTATGTAACTCTGGCTGGTCCAGAACTCACTGTATCGTCCAGGCTACCTCAGACTCCCAAAGGTCCTTCTGCCTCTGCCTGTTTCCCTAGGGTTGAAATTATAGGTGTGTATGATCCTGACTGGCAAGTCTGCCTTGCCCTTTTTTCTTGGGGTGGGGGGTTGGGCATTGAAGCAGGGTCTCCCTACCTAGCTGGCATCTGTGCCTCTGCACACATGTGCATCAACAGACTGGTTTTCGGTGTTAGTTTTCTTCCTTCTACCTCTGCTTGGGCTTCAGGATAGAAGTCAAGGTCCCGGGATTGTGCAGCAAGCAATTCTCCTACAGAGCCCTATTACCAATCTGACTTCCTGATTTTAGAGAAGGCATTCAGAGAACGTGCAGGAGAGCACCCAAGATGTTCCAAGAAGGCAGCATTAGGATGTTTTTTTTTCCCCCAGTCTGGAATCTAAGACTGCTTCAGAAGCATAAATGTCCTGTTATGTGACACAGAACATTTTCTTCCAGATTCAACTGTGGGACCACCTTTGAGAAGGGACACTTCTAAACTTAACCTCCCATAGACAGCACGAATTTAGTATCTTCTGGGCAATTAAAAAAAAAGTAGCAGCCATCATGGCGGTTCATACCTGTAATATTGCACTTGAGAGACTGAGGCAGAAGGACTGCCTTGAGTTCAAGGCCATACTAAGATAGAGTCACAGTGAGACCCTGTTAAAATGGTTAAGAAGACTTTAGTCAAGACTGACGGGGAGAGAGACTCTGTTGCATCCGTGACGACCATAAAGACAGGTGAGGACCGACAACCAGCAGGCTGTGTGAAGAAGCCACGGTGATAGCACGTGCTTATAGTCTCAGGACCTGAGGGGATCTGGACTACAAGGCCAACCTTGGCTACATGTCTACTACAAGGCTAGCCTAAACAAGGTTCTGTCTCAAAAACACAACAGAGGGGCTAAAGAGTTGCGGCATGAACTGCATGGAGACCATTGCTGCTTGACCAAGTTTTAGCATTTCAACTTTTCGGATCACAATTCTCCAGCACTGTTTTAATTTCTGAAGTTTCTGCACCCCATAAGCCTCTCTGCTGATGCAGCAATCCAAATCAGACAAAATCAAACCAGGTTAGAAAAAGCCCACGTTTAATGGATACAATGCTTCCAGATGGCCTTCCAGCTCCCCCCCCGCCCCGAGTCTATTTGGGGGGGCTGTTTAAATGCCCTATGGGAGTGGTCTTGAGCATCTCTGGGGGAGGGGTCATCATGTGGCGGACTTTCTGAGAGGTAGCAGAGTTTGGAGAGAGGTAGGGGAGGGAGCCTGGGTGGAACTTCCCCCAGAACATCCCAGACTCTTTGGGTAGATGGATGCCAGGGACTGGGGTGAAGCTTCCACCCTAAGCCTTTTGTTTTTAATGATTCTCGCTATATGTTATGGGAGTTTCTTTATGCCTTTTCCTTTGGGAAATTTTATTTGGAGTTTGAAGGATGAGAATGTATAAAAATGGCAGCCTCTCTAAACAAAATAATTCTTTGGAAAAAAATCCCCGACTCTGTGGAATCATATCATATAGTGTGTTAATTCTGAATACTTCCATACAAGTTAACACCAAGTCAAAGTCGATGCTAGCTTCTTCGATCCCTGATCTCAAACTGCAACCCAGATCACATCCCTCCTTCCCCACGCCACACCCCCACCCTGTTTAATCTTATGTTCAACTATAGGTTATAAAAGGTATTCTGCTAGGCGTTGGTGGTGCACTCCTTTAATCCCAGCACTAGGGAAGCAAAGGCAGGCGGATCTCTGTGAGTTCAAGGCCAGCCTAGTCTACAGAGTGAGGTCCAGGACAGCCTCCAAAACAATACAGAGAAACCCTGTCTCAAGAACTCCTCCCCCCAAAATAAAGAGGCGTATTCGTTTTTTTCAGTAAACTCCGGGCAGCCATCCTGATTCACTGTCAGACCGTGTCAGTGTCCGCCTTTTCCCTTGCCATCTCCACACATCCTCTTTGGGACCTGAACCACCCGACACCGCACCCAATCCCAGTCTGCCCCAGTCTGCCCCACCTCTGCCTCGCCCCTAGTCCCCGCCCCCATCCCCACTGAAGCACTTGTTGCTAGTGCAGAGGACCTGGACTGTATTCCCAGCACCCACACGGCGGCTCACAATCATCCATAACTCCAGTTCCAGAGGATCCAACACCCTTTTCTTACCTCTCTGGACACCAGGCACACAAGTGGTGAGATAAATATATGCAGGCAAAGCACCCATACACTCAAAATGAATAAAGACAAACAAACTTTTTGAGCCAAGTCCCAGGAGACTCAGGAAAGTTTATAGATTTCCTTTAAGGTCAGGTGTGAGACATGATTTTTTTTTTGAAACAAAATCTCAGATAGCCCAGGATTACAGGTATCTACTACCAAGTCTGATTTTGTGTGTGTGTGAAGCAGGATGAAATGTCAGAGTCTAATCTGTATTTATAGGAATATATATGTGAATGAAGTTTTTATGTAGAGGTAGGAAAATTAAGATAAACTCTTCAATGCCCTTTCTAAGACACGAGCTTTGAGGGGAAAAAAAGTTTTCTCTAGGGTGGATAAAAAAGGGGCCACCCAAGGCACTACGGGGCGGGGCTTGTGAGTGTTGTGACGCTATGGGCGGGGCCTGGCCGTCCCTTCTGCTTTTAGTCCCGCCCACGGGCCTTTGGGTTCCCTATTGCTGTTGCGCCGCCGCTGGCTGCTGTCCCAGGTGAGTCCCTGAAGTGAAAGGGGTCGATTGGGCCCTTGGTTTCCCCAAATTCGGACTTCTGGGCCTTGATGCCGGGCCTCAGGCAGGCCACGGTGTAGCGGGCTTCAGCTTCACCTCGTTTCTTCCTGGGGGGGCGTGGGTCGGCGAGGGTGGCTCCGGGAGGGCCTGGAGCGCCTACCGCGGCCTGGGCGGCCCGGGCCGATTCTTCCAGAGAAGGGAGGGGCTGCGGGGTGACGGGGCTTGTGACCCGCGGGAGGACCGGCGTCTCTGACAGGAGCCAGGCTTCTGGCGCAGTGGCCCTGTGTTAGGCTCGCCGTGGCACCAGGTCCCCTGGTCGCCGGGGTTCTGAACACCCAGCTTCTACTGGGTCACCGCTATGGGCTTTCAGCGCCCCGCTGCGTCACTCTGACCAAGTTACTTTCTCTTCAGGTCCGTGTTAACCTCTGTACCAGCAAGTTAAATCCCTGAAGCCCTCTCCCTTTGTATCCGTAACCGTAGGTTGTTGTAGAGAGCCCAGGTGCCCTGCTTCATTAGTTGGTCCCCCCATCGCTCCCTCCCCAGCTCAGTTGGGAGTGGAGGGGGACTGGTGTTCCATTCACATTTCAACACCAATCGATGTGTTAACATTCTTCTGTCATTTGAATTATTTGCCCTGGATGCAAATCAACAAGTGGCCATGGATGGAATTTAGGAGGATAATTTGAATGTTGTATCATAACTTACCTATTATAATTGTTATTTTGCAAAGCCCACATATAACAAAGGACTTACTAATTCACTAGGTCTTTGTGACTTATGTACCACACACAATTAGGGATGTCTCGATCGCTTATTTTTCCAAGTATTGTCAGGAGTTCTGAAACTCTATCTTGTAGCAAGCAAGCAGGACAGCTGCCAAGCAGGAAAAACTTTGAAAGGACAGGGGATCCTGAGTTACTCGACACTAGCAAGTTACACTTTTTTTTTTTGGTTTTGTTTTGGTGTTTTGTTTTGTTTTGTTTTGGTTTTTTTTTTTCTTTTTGAGCCTGTCCTGGAACTATAGCTCTGTAGACCAGACTGGCCTCAAACTCCCAGAGATCCACCTACCTCTGCTTCCTGAGTGCTGGGATTAAAGGCCAGTGCCACCACCGCCCTGCCAAACATAATACAACTTACAGTGAAAAAGTATTGAAAATTCGTGGCCAATCTGGGCTATAGAGTGAGAGAGGCGGTGCCTTGAATAAGAACGAAACCAAAAGTGAAACAAAACAAAACTGGCTGTTCTTACTGATATGTCATGCTTGCTTGTCTCAGAGAAAGACATAGAAGATGAGCTCTTTGTATTTCATGCACACAGGATCATCACGACACCTGAACTGGTCCCTAGAGATTACTCTAGCTAGATTCATATGTCGTCCAGAAGCCTGAAGAGGGTTTATATGGCTTAACCTGACCTCAGGGTAGCAGTAGAACTAAGATGAGATCCCAGATCTTTTGGCCCCTGGCAAAGTTCCTGTGCTACTATACTTAGAACACTGCCACTGTGATCTGGCACAACAGAGCCACCCTTTCAGGGTGGAGGGTGCGGGCGGGATGTATGGGACTGGGGAGATGGCCCAGCAGTTAGGAGCACTTGCTGCTTTTGCAGAGAACCTGGGTTCAGTTCCTAGCATCCTTCCCCGGCTGCTCACCACAACCTGGAACTTTAGTTCCTGTATTCATGTGGTACACATACTCAGTCAGTCACACATACATAAATAAATAAAATGTTTTTAAGGATTTTTTATAATTGTGCATGTATGGTTATTTTGCTGTATATCATGTCTGTATTAATGCCTGAGGTCATCAGAAGAGGGCTTTAGATCCCCTGGAGTTATAGATGGTTGTGAGCTGCTAGGAGTTGAACCTAGATCCTTTGCAAGAGCAGCAGGTATTCTTAACTGTTGGGCCATCGTTTCTCCAGACCCTAAAGTATTTTTGAAACAAAAAGTGGATAGACTGAACTTTTGTAATTTCTTCCAGTTGTGTATACCTCACATCTAAGAACTATTTTCCTGTGCTTCCCCTGGCACTGCTGTGGTGGTGTGATATGTGACATGAGGGTTTGCGTAGACCAAACATGACAGCCATTTCTAACAGTCTGTGTCTGAAAGGCCCCGAGTGGTATAGTTTTGTCTTATGTGCCCTAAAACATTTTATTCATGACATGAGAAGGAACTTAGGAAACTTGAACAGGAGTGAGTGGCTGAATAACCTGAGGGGGAGTGGTTGTGTTCTTGGCTGTTGTCCCTTTCCCGGGGCTACCTGGGCACTCATGCTGTCTATTGCTAGAGCTGGCTGAGCCAGGGTCGGGAGGACTGCCGTTCACATCCGTCCATCCGTTTGGCTGATTGCTTGCTTTAGCAAGTAAAAGAAGTAGGATGAAAGGATCAAATGGGGTTTGACTTCTTTACATTTTGTCTGTGTGTTTGACTTTTACTCATCTTTTGGTTTTACTGTTCTCAAATTAAGAGTTGATTTGCAGGGCTGGAGAGATGGCTCAGAGGTTAAGAGCACTAGCTGCTCTTCCAAAGAACCCAGGTTCCATTCCCAGCACCCACATGGCAGCTTACAGCTAATATAACAAATTATATTAGCTGCCAGTATGGCTACTGGGAACCCAACCCCAGTCCTCTGGAAGAGTAACCAGTGCTGAGGAAGCCATCTTTACAGTCCCAAAGGTTTGTGTGTGTGTGTGTGTGTGTGTGTGTGTGTGTGTGTGTGTGTGTGTGTGTGTGTGCGTGTAGCTCTTTGGAGGCCATAAGATCCCCTGGAGCTGGAGTTACAGATGGTTGTGAGCCATTTGATATGGATGCTAGGAATCGAACTCTGGTCCTCTGCAAAACAGTGCTTTCTTAACCAATGAGCCATCTCTCCAGCTCTTGTTTATTTTTGAACAGGATCTCCATATGTAGCCTGGGCTGAACTAGAACTCACTCTATAAACCAGACTGTCTCCTCCTGCCTCCTGAGTGCTGTCATTATGGGCAAGAGTCACCATGCCTACTAAGTTTATTTCTCTTGAAACATATACCCAACTGGTATGAAAGGCTAATTTAGAAATCTTTGAAAATTAAAATTTTTTCTGCTGAAATCTATCACTGTAGTTTGCAGATTCGCCCCAAATGAGAAGTAGAACTGGCTGTTGTTGCCTTGCTTCAGGATAAGAGGATCTATGCTTCATGGAACAGTTTTGGGAGTAGTATATTAAACTAAAAGGCTCATTAGATGGAAATATGTCAGGTTTTCCTAGGCATTCTTCCTGGGACTCATTTTTAAATACATTATTATTGCCAGTTCCCCCGAGTGCCCTAATTCTTTTGGAAACTGCTGGAAGGGAAGAAGAAGAAGAAAAAAAAGTAGCAACCATTTCTATTCTGAGATCAATGTGTTTTTGTAGTGGTGTTTTGTTTCCTGAGACAGAGTCTCAGAAATCTAGACTTAGGTATGTAGCTGGGGATGACCTTGAACTCTGAATCCTCCTGCCTCCATCTCCTGTATAGCAGGACTATTGATGTATGCCAGTCGTGCCAAACTGCGTGATACTTTTGCTTTTAAAATCCATCCCCATTTGTGGATCCTGAAGAGATTCCTTGGTTAAGAGCATTTGCTTGCTCTTGCAGAGGACCTAGGTTTGATTCCTGGCACCCATGGCTCACAACCATCTGTAACTCCACAGGCCCCAGGCCAAAGTTTACAAATGGTGCACATACATACATCCACATACATGCAGGCAAAACGCCCATACATAAATGGAAAAGAAAAAATCACCCCCCCACACACTACTTATTATTTGGGAAAATAATAAAAATTCAAATATGGACCTAATATGTCCCATTACATTTTCATAATTTCATAGCACTGTGGACCTCTAATTTAATTTTGCTCTTATGTTGCTTCTCCTGCCTCTGAATTATTGCCAGCATTCATGTGGGTGGGAGAGGGGAAAACTGGTGCTAGCTCATTCTAGTTTTTCTTTTGTGCCTCCTTCCCTCCATTTCCAGATGGCATTGTTTCTAAAGCATGTCTCCCAGGGATATTTATCCCTCAGAGGAAGGAAAGGCTTTTAAAATGTCTATTTATGCCTGGTGGTGGTGGCATACACCTTTAATCCCAGCACTGAGGAAGCAGAGGCAGGCAGATCTCTGTGATGTGAGTTCAAGGACATCCTGGGCTATACAGAAAAAAAAAACTGTCTTGAAAAACCAAAAAACTAAAGTTTATTTATTTATTTACTTATGTGTGTGTAAGTGTGTGTGTGTCTGGGTACAAGTGCTGTTGTATTCAAGTGTAAGTCAGAGGATATCTTACAGGAGTCAGTTATCTTCCAGGGTATGACCTCCAGGGATTAAATTTGGGTTTGTCAGGTTTGGTGGCAAGTACCTCCATCCACTGAGCCATCTTACCAGCCCAGAAGGGAAAGATTTAAGGATCACTAACAGTTTGGTTTGTCAAGGCCCAGGCTGTCCTGAAACTCATGATGATCCTCCTGCTTCAGAGCTCCCAAATCCTGGGAGTGCAAGTCATCATGCTCAGGTTAGGATCACTAATCTTTTTTGGGGGTGGGGGAGAGATTCGAGGCAGGGTTTCTCTGTGGCTTTGGAGGCTGCCCTGGTAATAGCTCTTGTAGACCAGGCTGGTCTCGAACTCACAGAGATCCGTTGCTTCTGTCTCCCAAGTGCTGGGATTAAGTGCACCACCACCGCCCGATTTAGGATCACTAATCTTAAATCAGCCATTTCCCTTCAGAAAAAGGCTAATTGGGTACTTCCTCACCCAGCTAATTAGGATTAGTATGATACGAGTTGGGTTTCCCTCTGCTATTGGTGAAGAGAAAGAAGGGGAAACGCTGCTGCTGTCCATCCTACCTCTTCAACCCCTTCCCCAGATGATTTAACTTTGTTCTAAGAAGGATTGAATTCTGCATCTCAGGACCACTGGTGGCCTCTGAGTCCACAGACATGCTGAGACAGATGCTAAATCTGGAAGCTTCATGTTTATCAAACAAGAGACCAAGCTGTTGCTTTTTCTAGACAACTTTTCAGATGAGGAAGGAGATGGGATTTCTTTTGACTGTGTGTACAGGTCTCAGAGCATGGCTCTCTAATGCCATTTGTGGGTGGGCTGTCCCCTTTTCAGTGTTCTGTTTTAGTGAGAAAGGGAGGCAGGCTGTACCATGCCATTTGTATTCTTACTTAATCCAGCCTTTTAGATAAGTATCATTTGTAAAACAGCTTGCCAGAATTTGTGTGTGTGAAAAATGAATAATGGGTTCTTTTTTCATTTTTCAAGGCAGGGTTTCTCTGTGTAGCCCCTGCTGTTTTGGAGCTCTGTAGACAAGGCTGGCCTTGAACTCAGAGATCCACCTCCCTCTGCCTCCCAAGTGTGGGATTAAAGGCACGCCACCACCATCCACTGTGATCTTCTTCTTCTTCTTCTTCTTCTTCTTCTTCTTCTTCTTCTTCTTCTTCTTCTTCTTCTTCTTCTTCTTCTTCTTCTTCTTCTTTTGTTTTTCGAGACAGGGTTTCTCTGCTGGGATTAAAGGTGTGTGTCACCAATGCCCAGCCACTGTGATGTTCTTAAAGAAATCAGATTTTGGTCTTCTTTCTTTCTTTTTTGTCACCATGTCACTTAAAACAGCTAACCTAGTTGAACTGGTCATACCAAGAATTAGCACTATTCTTAGATGTTTTCATCTCCTCAACCTTTTTTTTTTTTTTTTTGAAGTAGAGTCTCATGTGGCCCAGGTTGGCCTTGAAATAAATAAATATTATATATATCATTAAACCAACAAGAAAAGAACTCTAATCCTACCATCATCATCATTAATGTTTTTAGGGTGGTGGTGATCTAACCTAGGTTCTTATTCTAACTAGGCAAACACTCTACCTGTTGAGTTACATTCCCAGCCTATCCTTGCCATTATTTACCTGTAAAGCCCTTTCCCCTTTTACTTTCTGATGAATGGCATGTGTATAAATTGCTCATTCATTTATTGAAAGAATGCCTAATGGGCAGTTACTTTAACCTTATATTGTGTGAAGTGAGGATGACCTGTCACAAGGAGAACTAAAGATGAGGGTACTTAAGTTAATTGAAGGGTAGCCTCAACCCATAGCCAAAGGGCAAACAGGATCATTTGATATGCTTAGATAAATTAGTTCCTCAGGCTTAGGACTGAGAAAGCATGGTGATTTCACTGTGACTGGAGACTTCTAGGGAGAATCCAAAAGCTGAGAAACCTCCCAGCCAGCCCATATTCCATAGCCTCACAGTGCAGCTCCTATCCTACATATAACAGCTTGCTACAAGGAAAATGATGGACTAAAATATGACCCTTTCCACTCCACTTGGACTGTCCCAAACCAGGAAAATCAATGAATTCTTGGCTCTGTAGCTAAATTTCCCAATAGACTGCTTAGCGCTCCAAAATTCACTTGCCTTCTGGGGGGGGGGGAGGAACTTAGAGACAGGCATTTGTGTTTCATGACTTTAATTGAATCCTAGCTCTCAGGCAGAAGCAGATGAATCTCTAAGTTCAAGGCTAGCCTGGTCTACATAGTGAGTTCTAGGTCAGCCAGGGCTACATAGGTAAGCAATAATAACAAGGCGCAGCTGATTAAATTGTTCAAATCCATCCTTTAGAAGGCAGAACCAGAGATATAGCCCAGCAGTTGCCTTAGGGTTTCTATTGCTATGTTGAAATATGACCAAAAGAAACTTGGAAAGGAAAGGGTTTATTCTAGTTTACAACTCTCAGCTCACACTCCATCACTGAGGGAAATCAGAACAGGAAGTCAAATAGAGCAGGTCCTGGAGGTAGGAGATAATATAGAGACCATGGAAGGGTGCTGCTTAATGACATGCTCCTCATGTCTTCTTCAACTTTCTTATGGCTCCCAGGACCACCAGCCCAGGGTTGGTACTACCCATAGTGAACTCAACTTCCCTATTCCCCCCAATCAGCACCAAGAAGATGCCTCATACGCTTGTCCACAGGCCAGTCTTGGGGGATGTTTTCTCAATTGAGGTTCTCTCTTCCAGATGACTCTAGCTTGTATTGAGTTGATATAAAAACTAGTCAGCACAGCTGTAGAGGGTTTGCCCAGTGTGCAGGGGAGGGGAGTGGGGTGGGGTGGGTGGATCCAGGGAAGGAAGAGGAAGGGAGTACACTAGAATTTAAAGGACACCATATTGATTTTAGACATTTGTCACCACTGCATATCACAGAATTCCTTGTCTTTGTCCCAAATCCAGCCTAATTATTGAGGGATAAATGGAATTAAATGCAAGGTTGAAATCCAAAGACTTTAGCTTTCCTAAAGTCATGGGGTTTTCTGGGATGAAAAGTAGAGTTTTTTAGGGTTAAAAATTGCCAGTTCAGGCAGTTTTCTGTAGACTGGCTTGTTTTCTTAGGAGCCAAGTCTGGGGGTATGGGAGGGCAGTGGTGCCTGTGGTGCAGATGTTACAGATGTTCTCTGAAAATGTTGATAGCATAGGAAATTAGGAATGCACACTGCACAAAGTGAAACAGAAAGCAAGTCTGTTGTCTCAGCTCTTGTCAGGGTTCTGCTTTTCCTGATTGCTTGACTGGAGAGGTCTTGGTTGAGAGCCTGGAAGTTTTCCCCAGACCCTTTCTAAATGTTACTCTGTATTATCTTTTTACATTTCCTTTTTATTGAGTTCTCACGTGCTCTATACCATGTCTCCTGGCAGGACTCCACCATGGAAAAGACAATAGATGAGCCCCCCACATCAGCTGTGTTGCTGGAGCACTGCAGTTTCTCTCAGGTGGTGTTTAGCAGTGTGGAGAAGTTCTATGTCCCTGGAGGAGATGTCACATGCTATTACAGCTTCACCCAACAGTTCGTCCCTCGTCGCAAGGACTGGATCGGCATCTTTAAAGTGAGTGCTAATAGCGAGGGTTAGGAACTAGTGGTGAGTCTTAGTTACCCAGTCAGAAATTCTGTACTACAATTCCTCATGTTCCCTCATCACACACTAGTGTGCATGACCCCCAGTTTTAAATTTCAGCCTTATGCACACCTTTAATCCCAGTTTATTTCTTAAGCAACTAGCAACTGTCAATGAGGATAGTTCATCATAAACAAATGAAAATCTTACGCTTTATAAATTCAAGTTGTGGTGGCACATGCCTTTAATCCAAGCAAATGGGAGGCAGAGGGAGGTGGATCTCTGAGTTTGAGGCCAGCCTGGTCTACATAGAGAGTTCCAAGTTAGCCAGGGATACATATTGATAGCCTATCTCAAACAGAAAAACAAATTTACTTTCAGTCCCAAACTAAAAGATAAAATCCCACAATCCCCAAGTTTTATTATGTGTCCAAAGAACAAATCTAAATGCTTTAAAAATTATTCTGTTTAGAGGGCTAGAGAGATGGCTCAGCAGTTAAGATTAATCCCTGCTCTTCCAGAGGACTGGGTTTTCCCAATATCCACATAGCAGCTCACAACCATTTGTAAATCCACTTCCAGAAAATCTAATGCCCTCTTGTTATGTCATACACAGACATGTGCATGCAAAATACTCATAGGTATTAAATTAACACGTTAATAAACAAATAAAAATATAAATACATTAGTTTATTTTGAAATATGCACATGTGATTTGATTAAGTTCGATAACCCCTTTATATAATCTTTATGGCTTTGTTAGTTTTGAGGGGTTGAGACAGGTTCTCATGTTCCAGGCTAGCCTCAAACTCTTTGTGTAGCCAACTTCCTGCTTCTGTCTCACAGTGCTGTGGTTATAGGTGGGCTTAAGTTGTACCTGTTTAGTTTGTTTTAATATGAATGTCATAAATCTAAAAAGGATATTGAGAAGAGGCCTGGTTTGACATCCTGCATCCCAAAAGTCTTTTCCTGATTAAGTATGAACACTCCCTCTGTGCCCTCTTGTAGTACCTGATCATCCTGTCAGTTTAAGTACAGAAACTGTTTTGAAACTATATTCAACTTCTTCTCCATCGCATTCTCCTTCCCATCTCTGCCTTCTGCCTCTCCTCCCCTTCCTTCCGTCCTTTCCCTTCTCTTCCTTATGCTCTCCTTCTCCCTTCTATTCTGTGTCCCTTTCTCTCCTTTCCTCCTTCCCAGCACATACACCCCATCTTAATGTCCAATCCTATTTACAGAGACAAGAGATAAAGGTCGCTGGCTCTGATACCGGTGACCTTTGGTCTGACACTTCCCTATGCCATGTGCACATTTGTCAGTGCTGTTCATCCCGGAAACAGACACCATCCTTTACTTGCTCATTCACATCCTCTGCCTTAGTGATTTGGAAGACCCAGCTTATTGCTGAGTCTTTGGTATCCAGAGGTATGGGCAGTAGATGGCCTTCAGGACACTGGCAGCCCCTGGGATACTGAGTCAACAGATTACTATATACTGACACAGAACTGGTACCCAGAGTGTTTTCATCTTGGAGAGGAGGCCATAGCCGTTTTCTTCTTCCTTATGTGTAGCAAAGTCATAGATCAGTGCTAAGTTTAGCTTATTTGTTTTCATTTTATTACTACTGTGTTGGTGGTGTGTGTATATGATGAGCATATATGGAGGTCAGAGGACAACTCTGTGAAGTTGGTTCTCCCTTCTACCTTTATATGGGTTCCAAGAATGGAACTCAGGTCATCTAGCTTTCCCAACTAGTTTTTTATCTGCTGAGCCATCTCCCCAATTCAAGATTAGCTCAAAACAAAAACTTAATTTGAGAAATGGCTCAGTGGTTATAGAAGCATTTGCTGCTTTTTCAGAGGGTCCAAGATTGGTTCCCAGAACCCATACAATGACTAAAAGCTATCTATACCTCCAGTTCCAGGGGATCTGATGCCCTCTTCTAGCCTCTGTGGGTGCTGGGCATGTACACAGTGTACATACATCATATAGGCAAAATACTCATACGCAAAAATAAACAAGTCATAAAAACAAAATAAGATTGATTTTATTTTTAATTATGTATATGTGTGTGAGGGGGTATGTACATGTCTGAGGACAGGTATCTGTTGGATATAGAAGAGGGTGTTGGATCCCCTAGAGCTAAACTTAATCAGATTTAGAATGATTTGTTTTTTGGTTTTGGGTTTTTTGTTGTTTTTTTAAGACAGGGTTTCTCTGTGTAGCTTTGGAGCCTGTCCTGGAATTTGCCCTGTAGAGCAGGCTGACCTGGAGCTCACAGATCTGCCTGCCTGTACCTCTGGGAGGCAGAGGCAGGCGGATCTCTGTGAGTTCAAGGCCAGCCTGGTCTACAAGAGCTAGTTCCAGGACAGCCTCCAAAACAATACAGAGAAACCCTGTCTCGAATAAAAAAAAAAAAAAAAAAAAACAAGATGAAGAAGAAGTGATGGTTACTCTAAAGGAGGGCTCTGATGTTGTTTTCACAAAGTCACTGACTTCAGCAGCCTCTCTGAAGATGTGTTATGGGCTAGACGTCTGCTACAGGGAGGTGCTGTAGTTCAGATCTCACTGCACAACTGCCCCTGAGGACACATGGATGGGCAGCAGAATGGGTATCGAATGATAGTGACTCTTTCCTAAGGCCTCAATGTCGGAGCAAGTCTGTTTGACTCCCAAGTCACTGTCTTCTCTATCCTGATTCTTTTGATGGTTAATTAAAAGATCTAGTCATTGGCCGGGCGTTGGTGGCGCACACCTTTAATCCCAACACTCGGGAGGCAGAGGCAGGAGGATCTCTGTGAGTTCGAGACCAGCCTGGTCTACAAGAGCTAGTTCCAGGACAGCCTCCAAAGCCACAGAGAAACCCTGTCTCGAAAAACCAAAAAAAAAAAAAAAAAAAAAAAAATCTAGTCATTGACTGTAAAGTCTTGTTCCTGATATCTCACTTCTAAAGCTTTCTCTCTGCATAGTCTGAACTCACTGTGTAACTGAGGATGTTCTGGAACTTCTGATCTTCCTGCCTTAGCCTTATAAGTGCTGGCGTTAGAAGAGGGCACTCTCAGGCTAAGCTTCAAGTGTCCAGTAGTGCTACCCTCCTTTTCTAGATGTGACAGCTACCATCAAGAACAGAGCCAAAAGCAGGTGGGAGTCAACCTGCCTGGCTCCCTGTATCATCTACCCTGTGCTTTGTGCTCTCCTTGACCAGGGATTTTAAATGTTTCCAAACTTTCAGAGAGGAATTAGCATTCACAAGCAGACAGACTGTGTGAGACTAGGACATTGCAGGCAGCTAGAAGCCATTTCCTTGTTCCAAGTCACCTGTAATTCCTAGGTCTTCGCAGCAGTGTTTCTCACAGGATATTGAGAAACTCCAGGATGTGAATGAGGATTCCATAAAACTCTCACTTCCCGTCCCACCACAGGCTTCCTCGGCTCTGAGATGTTTCCAGTAACACAGTGTGCATTAATGAGGCTCTGATATGCCCTAGGATTTTCTGATGGGCTTTCGGTAGAGCCTTTTCAATTATGCTGTTCCTTGTATATAAAAGTGGGAATTATTTTTAGGTCTTTCACTTCCTACTGGGCTCAGATAGGGTCAAAATATAGCAATAAGGTGGAATTTGGCGTCTCGTTTGTTGACACTCTCCTCCTGAAGACACAAGAAGCAGAAGGGATAGTTAGAGGCCAGCCTAAGCTATATAGTGAGACTCTATCTGAAAAACTAATTAATAAGCCAGGCATGGTAGAGCATGCCTAGAATTTCAGCACTTGGGAGACCAGGCAAGAGAGGATCAGGAGTTCAGGGTCATCATTGACTGCATAGCAAGTTCAAGACCATCCTGGGTTACCAGACCCTATCAAAAATAAATAAATAAACAAACAGACAGACAGGCAGATTTCACTGTTATAGTCAGGTTGGAACATTACAAGTCTATATTAGACATCACAGAGTACAAACTTGTAAAGAGAACATAACTACTTTCTAATGGGTTTTTTTGCCCCGCTCATAATAAGTTTCTCTGCCATCACAGTAACCCAGATCAAGCCGAATTGAAAGTGTAACAACAGGTATATTGAGCAAAGCAACTCCTGGTCGGACAACAGGATCTCTGGGACCAGAGATCAGTGCTAGAGAAGTCATGCGCCTGAGCCAGGGGAGCAAAGTTTATAGACTGTAGGCATGGAGTGAGGGTGTGTCTGCCACAAGCTGGGTTTGTGCTGAGCGATTAAGCGGGGACTTGGGTGACTGTAGTACCCACCAAGAACTTGGAACTGGGCTTTGAGCACCTTTCCTTTGTTCATAGACTCTGAGCAGATGGGATGGGGACTGGAGAGAGGAGATTATGGGGCTTCCAGGACCATGCAGGGGAGAACTCTGTGAGTTCAAGGCCATCTTGGTCTACAGAGTGAATTCCAGAGCCACATAGTGAGACCCTGTATTGAACAAAACAAAACAAGATGAAGAGAACAATTGGGGAAGACAGCTGATGTGGACTTCTGGCCTCCATATGCAAGCATACACATGTGTACAAACATGTATGCATAAGTACACATACATACACAAGGTTTTGCTGATTTCAAACTCAAAGTCTTTCAGGTTCCCAATGTAACTATGATTATGAGCAGACATCATTATGATTGGCTCCTCTCAAAACATTTTACCCATACTATGCTCTGTCATTTTGGATAATACAGTTTGTTTGGTTGTTTGATTTGATTTTTGGCCAAGAGCTCATTATGTAGTCCAGGCTGGCCTCAAACTCACAGCAGTTTTCTTGCTTTAGGTTCTCAAATATCAGAACTATAGGCATGAGCTACCTTAACTGGCTGGTGACTTGGGGATAAAATTTGGAGCTCATGTAATGGGTATTTTGAGCTGTGTTTGTATACCTCAGTTTATTTTTGTTGCTACTTCATAACTAATTTTTCTAATGTTATGAATCGTAATGTAAATATTTTAGAGATAGAAGTTTGCTAAAAGCATCAACTCACAGGTTGAGAACCACTATATTAGATATTTTCCCATATAATAGCCACAAGTCAAAAAACATGGTTCTTGTCATAATGAATTCATTCTATCTTCATTATATATAAATAAAATTGCATTTTAGGAAATTGTAGCCCAAATAAGACTTTTTCAAGTTCCATCAGTGCTGAATCAGAGCCTCTTGTCCTTGCAGGTGGGGTGGAAGACAACCCGGGAGTATTACACCTTCATGTGGGTTGCCTTGCCCAGTGACCTCAACAAGGAGTCAACCAAGCAGCAGGAAGTCCAATTCAAAGGTAGGAAAATACTGAGTCAAAGTAGCTGAGAACTCTGGCCAAGGCTAATTAATTCCTGTGGGAGCCTGTGTTTGCAGGGCTGCAGGCAGAGTCAGCCAATTTGCCCCTGGTTCGTACATGAGAGGGGGAGTGTGGGTTGAGAAAAGCCAGGTAAAGATGTTAAGAGAAAGACAGAGACACAGGACAGAGTGAGGAGGGCAAATCCAGTCAATTCTGAACACCAAGTTTATTCTTCACCATTCTTACATACCCCAACCAAAAAGGGGAACATGGTATCATGTATATGGAACAAACAGACTTTCTTCCTTAATTCTCCAAGCATTTGGAAACCACACCTTAGACTTAATTTCTGGTCTTGAGGGTCAAAAGTAACCACATCTCATACCAAGTCTGTTGTTATTTAGATAACACCCAAGACCAAGATCAAACATCCTACTGTAGCCACACCTTTAACCTTTAGGTCTTATGACTTACAGAGGACAGTTTTGTACTCTGACCTTTAGTCAGGATGAAGCAAAGCCATCTTTATGGACAAATTCCTTTGAGTTTTCTGGGACAGGTTTTGTTTTTGTTTTACATGGGATAGCTCTGTTTTTGTTCTAAAGACCACATTCTTCTTTCAGCCTACTATCTGCCCAAGGATGATGAGCATTACCAGTTCTGCTATGTGGACCAAGATGGTGTGGTCCGGGGAGCAAGTATCCCTTTCCAGTTCCGTCCAGAAACTGAGGAGGACATAGTGGTTGTTACCACTAAGGTCTGTAATAATCTCACCTCACGCCTTTCTGTAGCATAGGAGCTCCAGGTTAGGGTGGAGTTTGAGTCAATAGGCTTTATGGAATGGCTATAGATACTGTTGGGAAAAAATCAGATGATACCACTCTAACCCACTAAGGAATGACTTCAGAATACATTTAAAAAAAAAGCATGACTTCTCCTTTCTCTGGCACTTCTGTAACTATTCCATTCCCTTAGCTGTAACAACTGCTTTTTTTTAAGACAACCTCAACAACAGCAAAAAACACAGAACCTCACACTATGGCACAGGCTGGCACAGAAGTCAAGGCAGTCCTCCTGCCTCAGCATTTGGAATTCTAAGATTACAGGAATGTGCCACTGTGCCTATTGTCCCTCATAACTTCTTTTTTGTTTGTTTTTCGAGACAGGGTTTCTCTGTATTGTTTTGGAGGCTGTCCTGGAACTTGCTCTGTAGACCAGGCTGACCTCGAACTCACAGAGATCCACCTGCCTCTGCCTCCCAAGTACTGGGATTAAAGGTGTGAGCCACCAATGCCCAGCCCCTCATAACTTCTTATGGCCTTAAATTGGCTTCTCTTTCTCTCCTGGCAAAGGCAAACTTAATTCTGTGATTAACAGGCATGCCGATGTTGCACCCTTTCCTACCCTGCATAGCTTCTCTCGCTGGCGTGAGCCAGTGTCATTCCAGTGAGTGGGAATCACTCAGCTGCCCCATCCCAGCTTGTGGGAAATTCCTGCTGGAAGGACTTGAATAAAGCTGCTGTGGTGTTCTCTTGCAGGGAAAGGTGGAAGAGATTGAGCAACACAATGAGGAGCTTCTCCAGGAAAACCAGGAACTGAAAGACAGCTGTGCCAGCCTCCAGAAGCAGAACTCAGATGCCCAGGCCGAGCTCCAGAGCAAACAGGTACAGATGCTGGCCAAAGGTGAACTTGGAGTAGGTAGATAGGAATCGCAGTGTACCTGACCCAGTGCTGTTTTCTGTTTGACTTGGCTTGTGATTTATCTCCTACCTTTTTGTGTTCAATGTGGCTGGTTTTTGTTTGTCTGGTTGGTTGGTTTGTTTGGTTTTGTTTTTCCCCTGAGACAGGGTTTCTCTGTGTTACAATTCTGGCTGTCCTGGAACTCACTCTGTAGACCAGGCTGGCCTTGAACTCACAGAGATGCTGCTTGTGCCTCCGGAGTGCTGAGATTAAAGGTGGCTTATGTGGCTCTTATCAGTTTAGGTGATAATAGTAAAAAGTAACTTGGCTTTTAGCCACTGGAAAGCAGTGTCTGGTATGTACCAGGCACTCAAAAAATGCCTTTAAAATGGATTGATGGATAAATAAAAAGCTCTGGTAAGTGGTGAAATTAAGATAGATGCTTTTTTTTTTTAAGTGGGGTCTTGATATATAGCCCTGGCTGGCTTGATCCAGTCTCCTGCCTCCTCGGTTTCTCAAGTGCTGGGATTGCAGACCTGTACCACCATTCTGCATCCAGGCTTTTGTTTCTTTAAGGAAACAGGGTCTCACTATACAGCTTTGGCTGTCTTGGAACTTGCTATGTAGACCAGGATGGCCTTGAACTCACTGAGATCCACCTGCCTGTACTTCTGAGTGTTAGTATTAAAATTATCAGCCACCACATCTAGCTGAAGTTAGGTGCATTTAAAAAAAAAAAAAAACACTTTTAGCTGGGTGTTGTGGCAAACACTTTCAGTCCCAGCACTTGGAAGGCAGAGAGAGGTAGATCTGAGTTTAAGGCCAGCCTGGTCTTCACAGTGAATTCTAGGCCAGCCTAGACTATGTAGTGAAATTTGTCTCAAAAATCAAAATACACATGCATGTTTGCCTGCTTGTGTGTTTATGAAGAGGCTAGAAGGAATCTGACTTCCTGGAACTAGATTCTCAGACTTTTGTAAGCCTCCATTGTGGGTGCTAGGAACTGAAACCAGATTCTCTGTGTGAGCAGCACGTGCTATTTTCTCTACTCCTCAGAAACTGTTTTGATCTGGAAAGAACAAGCTGGGACTATAGCTCAGTTTAGAGTGGTTGCCTGGCATGTGTGAGCCTTGAAACAACACCACATGTATATATGGAAAGAATATAACTCAAAATGTCTTTAAGACACTAGGTCTCTGGGACATCCAACCTCTGGGTCCTGGTACTCTAGGCAGTGTCAGGGGTAAGCTCAGTCTCATGACACACATCTCAGGCTGGAATCAGTCGTTGGCTGGCCATTCCCACTATCTCTGTGCTACCTTTCCCCAGTACATGCCACAGACTGTAGGTCGAAGGTTATGTGGTTGGATTGGTTGTCCTATTGAGAGATATTTGATTATACTGTGTGACGATGTGTCACTGTGATTGGTTTAGTAAAAGCGAAGTGGTCAGTAGCTAGGTAGGAGGCATAGGCAGGCAGAACTTTTGGACAGAGTTCTGGGAAGAACAGTGGAGTCACTAGCCAGACTCAAGAGGGAGTGAGACATGATAGAGGTGAGGTCAAAGCTACGAGTCACGTGGCAACATGTAGGTGAATAGAAATGGGTTAACTTAAGTTATAAGAGCTAATTATAAACAAGCCTAAGCTATAGACAGAGCTTTCATAATTAATAAGAAGTCTCTGTGTCATTATTTGGGAGCTGACAGGTGGGACAAAGAAAGACTCTCCATATGGCACCCCACACTGGGCATCATATGTAGTCAAACTTTCCTTTGGGCCTCCACCTCACAAAAAAACACATGGAGACTTATTATTTGATTTTAGTGTCTGTGCTACTGGTGTATTCAGGAAGTTGTCTTCTGTGCCAATGCATTCAAGACTGTTTTCCACTTTCTCTTCTATCAGGTTCTCTGTATCTAGATTTATATTGAGATCTTTTATCCACTTGGACTTGAGTTTTGCACATGGTGATAGACATGGATCTATTTGCATTCTTCTACATTCTGACACCCAGTTATGCCAGCACTATTTGTTGAAGATGTTTTCTTTTTTCCATTTGTCAAAAAGCAGGTGTCCATAAGTATGGTTATGTCTGGGTCTTTGATTCGAATCCATTGATTCACCTGTCTGTTTTTATGCCAATATCATTCTGTTTTTAATCACTATGTCTTAGTTAGGATTTCTATTGCTGTATAGAGACACCATGATCACAGTAACTCTTATAAAGGAAAATATTTAATTGGTGTGGCTTACATTTCCAGAGATTTTGCCTATTATCATCATGGTGTGACTTGGTGGTGGGCAGGCAGACATGGTGCTGGAGAAGTAGCTGAGAGCCCTACATCCTTTATCCACAGGCAACAAGAAGTGAACTGAACTAGACCTAACTTGAACATAGGAGACCTCAAAGCCCACCCCTATGTGACCCAATTCCTCCAACAAAGCCACACCTACTTCAACAAAGCCACACCTTCTAAAAAGTGCCACTCTCTATGAGCTTATAGAGCTCAATTATATTCTTTTGTTTGTTTGTTTGTTGGTTTTTGTTTTTCAAGACAGTGTTTCTCTGTGGCTTTGGAGGATGTCCTGGAACTAGCTCTTGTAAACCAGGCTGGCCTCGAACCCACAGAGATCCGCCTGCCTCTGCCTCCTGAGTGCTAGGATTAAAGTTGTATGCCACCACTGCCCTGCAAGGTCAATTATATTCAAACTACCATACTATAGCTTTGTAGTAGAGCTTGAAATCAGGATAGCGATACCTCCGGAAAATCTTTTATTGTACAGGATTGTTTAAGCTATCCTGCTTTGAGATTTTTTTTGTTTGCTTTTCCATATGAAGTTGAGTATTGTTCTTTCAAGGTCTGTAAAGACTCGTGTTTGGATTTTAATGGGGATTTCATTAAATCTGTAGGTTGCTTTTGGTAAGATGGTCAATTGTACTATGTTAATCCTACTGATCCATGAGCATGGGAGATCTTTCCAGGGATCCCACATGGGACTGACCTAGGCCCTATACTTATATGTGATGGTTGTGTAGCTTTGTCTATTTGCAGGCCTCCTAACAGTGGGAACAGGGGATGTCCCTAATGCTTTCTGGCTTTTGGGAACCTATTCCTCATACTGGATTGCCTTGCTCAGTAATATAAGGAGAGGTATTTAGTCCTACCACAGCTTGATATGCCATGTTTTGTTGATATCTATGGGAGGCCTGATCCTTTCTGAACAGAAACAGAGGAGAAGTAAATTGGGGGGCAGAACAGAGAGGAGATGGAAGGAGGGAATGAGCGGAGGGAGGGGAAACTATGGTTGGGAATGTAAAAAAAATAAATTTAATAAAAAGAATTTAAAAATACTTTTTAGTGTGGAATCCCCTTAAATATGCCATTCTCTGCTCTTTAGTGCTCTGCCTAACTAATACAGTATTTTAAAGTAGTGACTAAGTTAAAAGTGCTAATGGAGTACTACTCTTCTATTGCTGTGAGAGCACTGTGACTAAGGGCAGCATAAGGAAGAGGATGTTATTTTGGCTTACAGTTCCAAGGGGTGAGTCCATCATGGGGGGGGGGGGGAGGCGTGGCAGAAAACTGCAGGAAGCAGAACGGAAAAGTGGGGCAAGGCTATAAACCCTGGAAGCCTGCCCTCAATGACACACTTCCTCCAGCAAGGATGCACCTGCTCATAACCTTTCCAAATGGCACCGCCAGCTGGGGACCAAGGGTTCAAATGCCTGAGAAGGACACTGACCGTGAAACCACCACAGTGCTTACATACTAAAACGTGTCTTCAAATTGATCTGCCTCAGCCCGGGCATTGGTGGCGCACGCCTTTAATCCCAGCACTCGGGAGGCAGAGGCAGGCGGATCTCTGTGAGTTCGAGACCAGCCTGGTCTACAGAGTGAGTTTCAGGACAGCCTCCAAAACAATACAGAGAAACCCTGTCTCGAAAAACAAAAAAAACAAAAAAAAAAAACAAACAAAAAAAAAAAAAGATCTGCCTCCTTAATCATGTTTCACTCTACAGGAGGCACTGGAGGCACTGCAGAGCATCAATAAGAAGTTAGAACAGAAAATGGAAGAGCAGAAGGCCTGTTGGGAGACTGAGCTGCTCCAGTGAGTATACCTGCCCTCCTCTTGGATGGGAGTGGCTGCTGTTTGTTAGTTAACATTGAACACCCTACAATCCCAGCCATTGGATCGGAAGGTTAAGGTCATCCTTAGCTACACAGTGAGTTTGAGGTCAAACCAGGGCATATGATACCCTATCTCAAGAAGAAAAACAACTTCCTGTTATGGCATGTATATGGGTAACTAACTGATGTTTTAGGTCAAGTCAGTCTTAAGTCACTTATGTGCTGGGGTAAACAGTCATTTCCGCTTCCCATAGGCTGAAAGAATACAACCAGAAGATATCCTCTGAAAACGAGAAGATGGGGCTCAGAGTAGAACAGCTTCAGGTAAGTAACACTGTGCTTTTACTGAAGGGCATCTTCTCAACTTTGCCACTGTTCGTGATCTGGAAGTCCAGAAAGATGCAGTTCATTGTAGCAGGTACCTCAAAGCACAGCTGTGCCGTTGAACTTTCATGCTGTGGCAGATATCTATTGTAAAACACTTGACAAAGGAAGGATTTATTTGCCTCAGTGTAAGAGGTTCCAGTCCACCATGGTGGAGAGCGTATGACAGAGCAAACAGCTTACACCACAGCATCCAGAAAGCAGAGAATGCTTGGGCTAGCTTTCTCCTTCCCCTGTATTCTGCCCAAGCACCTCAGCGTAGGCCTTTCCCCTTTGTTATCCTCCTTCGAAATTCCACAGAAGCCAAGTATGGTGTACAACTTTAATCCCAAGCACTAGGGAGGCAGAGGCAGGCAGGTGGATCTCTGTGGGTCTAAGTCTAGTCTGGTCTACAGAGCCAGTTCCAGGACAGCCAGGGTTACACAGAGAAACCCTGACTTGGGGAAAAACAAAAACAAAAACAAAACAATGTCCACATATGCAAAGTGTGCTGTGCTCATCTCCTAGGCACTTCTTAATCAAACTGACCATCAAGATTAAACATTACTTAAAGTTACAGGTTATGTATTTTTCAGCCTTAAATCATGTGGGTCCATATATGCATATTTATTACAAATAGTAATGGTCTACAAGGAAATTAATAATCTGTGTGTGTGTATTACATAAACTAATCTTAAGGATTATAATCATTTATAACAATGACTTTCATTTATTATAAAATTTATCCAAGCAAAATTTTACTCAGAAGCCTAGAATATAAAGTAGAACTATTCGTATTTAGGAAGAAAGACAAACTTTTGTTTAAAAAAAAAGACTGGTTGTGGTTGCCCCACTGAGTCAGATCTTAGGCTGTAGGGTAGAACCCGAGAGTAAAGTAGCTGAGGCCTCTTTGCAGTGGGAGTTGGTGGAAACATCTTCCTTCCTGTACTTTAGAATGGAACGTTGTTCCTGGGTAGTTTTCCTTTATGTCTTACTGTGGATTCACTATTTTTGTTTTAGGCCCAGCTGTCAACTCAACAGAAAGAAATGGAGGAGCTTGTTCTAAGAGACCAAGACAAGACAGAGCAGCTGCAACGTCTCAAAAATGAGAATAGCCAGCTCGTGCTCAGTTTAACTGAACAGGTAGATCCTTCAGGAAAATACACTTGTGCTTTCTTTACTCATGGCTCTGGAGAAGGTCTCCTTTACCTCTCCTACTTTTTGAGACACCATCTCACTTGTATGCTGGCTGGCCTGGATCTCAGTTTCTCCTGCCTCTCCCTCTTTGGTTCTGGATTCAAGGTGTGAGCTACACCCAGCTCAAAGAAGCCATCTCTTTCTTTTCTTTTTTTCCGAGACACGGTTTCTCTGTGGCTTTGGAGGCTGACCTGGAACTAGCTCTTGTAGACCAGGTTGGTCTCAGAGATCTGCCTGCCTCTGCCTCCCAAGTGCTGGGATTAAAGGCGTGCGCCACCGACACCCGACACCCGGCTCAAAGAAGCCATCTTACAAGAGGTTATATCATGGTTTTATTCAACAGCTGAAAGATTTACCTCTTCCTCAGCATCCTGCTTGCTCATGAGTTCAGCAGGTGTGTGTGTATATGTGTGTGTGCCTGTTCCCAGCCATGGTACTAAAGTCTCTTTCTGTGCAGAAGGAGCAGAAGATGAAGCTTGAACAGACAGTGGAAAACATGAAGAAGAAAGAAACTATGGCAAGGAAGAAACAACAGGAGCTAAAGGCATGTTATCTGTTTGTGCATGGCTGTGTGGGCGGGTGCCTAAGAACGACATGGGGCCTGTTTTCAGGAGACAGAAAGGACAAATAAGACATTAGGATAGCATTCACCTGTGGTGTTTTACTTTCTCCCCAAAAGTACAGAGAATCTGCCATTTAAAAGATGCTTCAGAGAGGTGGAGGTGTCTACTATGTGATGAATGATGAAGGAGTCGTGAAAATTAAACATCACCACACTGTAGTGGTTAGGAACTCACTCCAGAGTTGTTATGACAAACAAGTTAATAACTGTAAATAGCCATACAACATGAAATTGTAACACTCACAGCCAATTTTGTTATTATTAATGTTAGTAATTATCATTAATTGTAAATAGTTCTGGATAATAGTCATATAGCAATGAAAGTCTAATGAATTAATTAGTAATTTTTGGAAGTAACATTGTTGAAAAAGAGGCCTGGTGATAGCGGGGCGTTGGTGGCGCACGCCTTTAATCCCAGCACTCGGGAGGCAGAGGCAGGTGGTTCTCTGTGAGTTCGAGGCCAGCCTGATCTATAGAGCAAGTTCCAGGACAGCCTCCAAAACAATACAGAGAAACCCTGTCTCAAAGAAAAAAAAAAAGAGGCCTGGTGATGCTGACAGGTACTTGAAATCTGTTTTCTGAATGGATGTAAGACAAAAAGTGAGGACCCTGACTTCTGAAAGTGGCTATATCTCATATTGTAGCTGCTGTATATGATCAGCTTTTGAGAACTGACTGGATGTATTCTTTATATTTGCCAGCTCACTCTTACAGTCTCAGCCAGGTAGAGGTAGGAAACTAGGAATTCATGGTCCTTCCTACCTAATAAGTTTGAAGCCAGCCTACAGTACGTGAGAACCAGTCTCCAGAACCACGAATATGAAAGGTGAAGAGTAGGACACTTTGCAAACCAACAGCTCTCAGGTTAAGTGCAGCCCATAGATGGGGCTTTGAGAAATTGAATCCATTACCCGCCTTTACAATTGAGACTGTTTCCTACAAAACCGCATTTCTCACTTCTGGAAAACGGCATGGTACCACTGAGCCCACATTACTGTAGTGTTCCAATCAGGGTGGCTGAGAGGCTCCTCCTGCACATACATGTTAGATGGGTCACAAGTTCTCTGATGTCAGTTCAGTTCACTGACTGGTCAGTTGTGTGCGGTGGGGACTGCATCACCACCCCAGCTCTTCTGTTCTGCCTGTCTCGTTCCCTTCATTTCATCCACTTCTTTCCTAACACCCAAGCTTATCTGAGGTTGTTTTTTTGTTTGTTTGTTTGTTTTTGAGTGTTAAAAGAGGGGGGAAATAGTTTTAATCTATAGTCTTTTTGGTTTTTTGAGACAGAGTTTCTCTGTGTTACTTTGAAGCCTGTTCTGGAACTTGCTCTGTAGACCAGGCTGGCCTTGAACTCACAGAAATCCGCCTTCCTCTGCCTCCCGAATGCTGGGACTAATGGCATGTGCTGGGTGTTAGACTCAGGACCTCATGCATGCTATGCAAGCCTCTACCTCTGAACTACATCCCCTTCTAATAACAAGTCTTTATTTCTTATGCTAGAGCCCTCTAACTGTAAGGACTGTGTATCTTGTACTTCAGGAGCCTAAGAACAAGGAAACAACGGAGGAGGAGTTAGTGCGAGAGGTGGACCGCTTAAAGGCAAAGGTAGAGGCCGGGAGAGCCTGTTACTTAGAGAAGTACAAAGAATGTCAGCGACTCCACAAACAGATCAGGCAACTCAGGGCTTCTGCAATGGTAGGTGTCAGAGTTAAGGGGCCCAGGAGAGTAAGGGATATGAAAGTTTAGGAATTTTAGATCAAGTCCAGAAGATGTATACTGTTACTAAGAACTTTTTCTTCTCAAAAACAGAGGGGTGGAGTTATGAGGCCAGAAGCCACCCTGGGCATGGGGAAAGTCTCTGGGAACTCAGGCCCATTCATGTATCTCAGAGAAAGTTTCTGTAGTGATTAAGGAGGTTCGGTGCAGACTCAGAGAGTCCTTTCTATTTCTGCCTTTTGAGGAAGTGAAGCAGGACCAGAAGAGCCAACAGGAGCCAGTGGGGATGGGGAGCAAGAAGCCTGACGTCAGCTCTGTCATCGGGTAGCCCCCTCTCGATTACCTCAGGGTCGGCTAGAAGCGCACAGCAGTTTGGGCACCAGCATTCAAATAAAATCATGCAACAAAAACCACAACTAGTAAGATTAGCTGAAGTATGTTTGTGAGATGTATGCATGTGTATGTGTACAAGCACAATATGGGAAATACTGAGGCATGAGACTAGCTGAGTCAACCATCTTTCTGGGGAGTCTAGAACCCAGGCTGTATACCTTGTGGAACCTGGGAGAAAGTCCTCCCAAACCAGACCCAAGTGCCTCAGGCCCCATGGAGTAAGGTGTCCACTCAGAACTGTGACAAGGTCATGTCATGCTAAGTAGGATTACAGGGTTCTAGTTATCTTTACTTCTAATATATCAATCTTAGCTTGCCTTGCCTTTCTGTAGTCTCTAACCCTGCCAGATAAACTGCAAACGCCTTGACATCACCATGCCTGCTCAAGCTTTCCAGTATTTGGCTAAGTCCCCAGCGCGCTTCCTCCTCCCAGAGTCCCTTCTCCCCGCTCACTCAGTCTTCTTCCCTGTAAGGCAGCTCCTCTGAAATCTACCTTGGGGCTCCATTCCTGTATAAGATCCTAATTCCAATGTCTTTGCTGTTGACAGGACGAGAACTTCGCCCTGTCAAGAACGCTAAGTGACAACAAGATTGTATCTGATGTTCTGAAGAGAGAGAAAGAGAAACTGGAAAGAGAAAATGATGTAAGTGTTTGGAAAGAAGGAAGAAACCCAAGACTTGAGACCCTGTCTCAAAATATTCAAATAAGTCTTGTGATCCCAGCACTCAGGAGGCAGAGGCAGGCCAGTCTTTAAGTTAGAGGCCAGCCTGGTCTACAAATCAGTAGGACAGCCAGAGCTGTTACACAGAGAAACCCTCATAAATACAAACAAACAAAAATGAGAGAGAGAGGCTCTCAGAGGTTTGATAGTAAAGTTGAATAGAAGGTCTTTCCCAGTGAAGCAGTTACTCATAAGCAAAGAGTTAAGTTTGATCCTGTTTTCTAAATTTACCTCATCTTGCAATTTAGTTGTTGTTGTTTGTTGTTTTTGAGACAGTATCTTATGTATCTCAGACTGATCTCAAATTTGCCTTGAGCTGAGAATGAGCTTGACTTCCTGAACCCATGGACCCCATCTGCCTTGGTGCTGAGATTACAGTCATCCACTACTGTGCCTAGTTTTATTTATGTGGTGCTGGGATCGAACCCAGGGAGCTTTGTGCATGCCAAGCAATCACTCTACCAGCTTAGTTAAGCAGAAACCGTGCTTTTTAAAAATTTTTTTTTTTTGGTGTTTTGAAAGAAGGCTTCCATATGCGATTCAGCCTGGCCTTAAACTGAAAGCAATCCTCCTGTCTCTGCCTCACAAGTACTGAGATTTCAAGTATATAAACCTCTCTCTGTCCTACTTGAACTCACTTGGCATGACAGGAGTCATCTCACATGAAGCAGCTATAGTGAGTGAGGCCACGGCAAACATTCATTTACTCACCAATCCAAAATTCAGTGTCTGTATATGTCAAACACTGAGTTACTGACAACCTCACTGGCTGAAGATGATGACAGCAAAATCTCATGTCCAGCATCCAAGAACAGTGGTCTAAGCAAGTGAGTGTTCTTGCTACCCCTGGATTGACACCTCACTGCTCCATCGATGCCCTTTCTGGAAACCTGGACTCTGTCAAAAGTTTAACAATGATGACATAACAAAATGCACTGCTTTGAGATTTTTGTTTAAGACAAGGTCTCACTGTACCCAGCAAATAATCTTAAAGTGCATAGCTCAGAAGTGCTGGCCATGCACACTTACAGTCCCATCTCCATAAGCTCTCCATCTAGCACACTGAAACTCCACATACACCAAGTAATAAACCGCTTGAGAATTTCTGATCTGGGTTTTATTATTTGCACTGATGTGTTTGGAGATTGCAGAAAGCCTTTGGGGTCCGTTTCTGGTCTTCTAGTCTCATGTTCTTGGAGTAGATGGGGAAAGCAATCCACAGCACCAAGAAAGTGCTGTTGGAAAGTTTCCTTCATTCAGAAGAATAGTTAACAGTGAGACATGGTGATGACTCTGGAGAAAGCACAAGGAGAAGCAGGGTTTTGTTTTAATTGTGTGTCATATATATGTATGGGTGTGTGCATGTGAGTGCAGGTGCCCTCAGAGGCCAGAGCCATCGGATCCTCCCAGAGCTGGAGTTACAACATGGTTGCTGAGAATCAAAGGGCAGTGCAAACTCTTAACGATTAAGCCATCTGTACAGCCATAAGAACCAGGAACTTAGCCAGCACACGCCTTTAATTCTAGTACTCAGGAGGCAGGTGGATCCCCTGAGTTCAGGGCCAGCCTGATCTATGGAGTGAGTTCCAGGACAGCCAGTTATGTAGAGAAACAGTCTTGCAAAAACAAAAATAAATAAATAATAGAAAATTAGAAATACAAAAATAAAGAACTAGGAACTAAAGGTAGTTTCACCTACATACATACAAGTTAAGGGCCAGCCTGAGCCACATGAGACCCTGTATCAAACAAACAACAATAAGAGCAAACAGAAGTAAGCATGGTCACATGAGCTACCCCAAAACCCATGCTAAAGTAGGAGAAAAACAACTCCACAGAGTTGTCCCCTGACCTCCACACTCGTGACCACGCCATGGCACTTGCTTGTCTTTCTTTCAGCATGTCTTTAAATCCTCTGTCCTCAGATCCTGAAGAAAGAGAACAACAGGCTGGTGGACTACATGGGTCTCCACAGTGACTCTTCACCAGATCAAACGCAGTCTTCAGATCAAGGAGCTGGTAGGCAAAACCCAGGCCTTGTGTACGGAAACCCATATTCTGGTAAGACAATTTACCCATTCTGTCTGAAAAGCCTTTTCACCCAAGTGTGTGTGTGTGTGTGTGTGTGTGTGTGTGTGTGTGTGTGGCTAATTAAAGCTAGCATTGTTAAGACTTGCTGGGCAGAAGCTGAGGACCCAATAGAAAGAAAAATTGCAGGAAAGAAGTGTTAATTGAGAAATAAATCTGAATCCAGAAGACACAAATCAGATCATTTGCCTAGAGGCAGCAGACACAAATTGAGTCCCATGGCTACCTTCCCAATATAAATCAGAGAAATGTGTTTCTGTAGAATATACACACATACAAAGGAGAAAGCTAATTAAGTTTTGGAAATGGGAATGCTAGAGGCAGGTTATGCCTCCCAGAAACCCATAGTTCCAGCAGCCCCCTGATGGCCCAGCCGAGGGTAATAGGAGCCAATTGTTTTCTTTCTGGGGGCGGGTGTGAAGTAACTTGTCCCTTGTCCCTTCCAAATGAGAGGCTGTTCCTGTTGTCTCCAAAGCTGGCGCAAGGCCTCATTTGTTTTGTTGCATGGTTTAAAGCAGTAACATTTTCTTAAAAGTCACAACCAGGTCTTTGCAAGAGGCAAGAACAAGTTTAGTTTTTGTTTTAAAATAGTTTAATGCTTTTATATTCTTTGTCACTCTTCTAGCATGGGAGCCTTATCAGAAAGGAACAAGTGGAAGACTACGGCTAGGGAGTTGGCTTAGTGGGTAAAGTGCTTGCCGTGCAAGCTTGAGGACCTGGACTTCAGGTCCCCAGAACCCTCATAAAAAGTGCCACAATGGCACATGCCTCAAACTCAGGCTCTGGTGAAGGATAATAGACCAGAGCACCCAGTGGTTGCTGGCCAGCCGGCACAGCTAGTCAGTGAGGCCGGGCTCAATGAGAAACTTTGTCTCAGGAGTGAGAGAGAACCATTGGGTTCCAACACTTGCCTAGCGTACATGAAGGCCCAAGATTCAGTCCCCAGGACTTGAGGGGGGGTAACTGACAGAGGAGAACTACTGGCGTTGACCTTTGGCGGCCATCCATGAACATGTGATCAAATATTGTACAAGTACATGCAGGTACACAAATAGAGTGTGAGGCCAAGGCAGGTGAGTGTGAGACCATGTCAGATGCCATAATAGTGAAACTGCCTCAAATGAAAAGTAATATTGAGAATGATGAGGGCTGAGAATACAGCTCAGTTCGTACAGTGCTTGCCTAGGATGCTGCAAGGCTTTGATCCCTAGCACCTCAGAAACCCGGCATGGTTCCATGTGGCAATAATGCTAGGGTTTGTAAAGTGGAGGCAGAAAGATTAAATATCCAGCGTCACCTCAGGTTACATAGTGAGATCAAGGCCAGCCTGGGCTTGGGGAGACCCCATTTCAAAATACTAACAACATTGAGCTTAAAAAAAAAAGGAAAAATTTTCCTAACTGACTTTCTAGGGGAGAGGGCCAAGTGAGCAGAGTGCTTTTGTGAGTGTTGATCCTCGGAGCCCACACAAAGCACACCTTTGTAATCCCAGTGTTCTTCAGTGAGATGGGAGGCTGGACAGGAAAATTGCCATAGGCCCGCGGCCCAGCCAGCCTGGCAAACAACTAGGACCCTGCCCCAGACAAAGCAAGACTAGGACCTACACCTAGCTGTTCTTTGGCTTGTGTGTGTGTGTGTGTGTGTGTGTGTGTGTAACAACAGATTCTGACAAAATAGAGGCCTGAAAGCCCAGGCACATTCTGCTCAGACATTTTTGATGGTGAGTGCCCTCCAAAGAGAACAGCTGGCAGGCACAGGCACCTTTAATCCCAGTACTCGGAGGCAGACATAGATCCTTGTGCATAGTGAAAGAGGACCGTGAAGGTCACAGGACACATCTCACAGAACACAGCTGGTGTCGGGCATGCTGGTTTTTTTTATCGAATGAATGAAATCTTTTTTATTCCCTTCAGGTATCCAAGAAAGTTCTCCTCCTCCCAGCCTGGTAAGTATTCATGAGATTGACATTCATATATAAAAATCCCTGAAAGGCTGGGCAATGGTGAGCATGCCTTTAATCCCAGCACTCGGGAGGCAGAGGCAGGTGGATCTCTGTGAGTTTGAGACCAGCCTGGTCTACAAGAGCGAGTTCCAGGACAGCCTTCAAAGCCATAGAGAAACCCTGTCTCGAAACCCCCCAAAAAAATAAAAATAAAAATCCCTGAGAAATCTCCATTTCCATATCTATTCCAAATCCTGGGAAAACCAGAGAGAGAGAGGAGCAGGAATCAGCTGACTTAACGTGTTCAGGGCCCAGGGCTGGGGTAGCCTGTTGAGGTGAGGAGAAGAAATTAGGTTTCTATCAGCATTGCACAGAATCTCCTCCTGCAAGTTAAGTTGTCAGTGACTGGGGAAGAGATGTGGCCTGGGCAGCTAACCAAGCAAGGCCTGCCCAGGGCTTCTCCCAGCCCAGAGCTATGTTGACCCATTTGGCAATATTAAGCCCTTTCAGTCTTGGGGTGAGAGAAAGCCCCAGGGATCCTCTCCATATGTGAATATGTTGGTGTCTCTTGAGCACCTTTCATATGCTAATTAGGCCTAGACACTGAGAATACAGTGGAGAGCAAGGTGAGGGACATATGTGTGAATCAAAGCTCACGTTGCCACTGTCCTCTGTTCTTCCAGCATGCTGCCGTCCATGCTGATAAAGTCCGTGAGCAGACCCCGAAGAAGCAGCAAATGCAGATCAGTTGTTTGAATTGTCCAGTTTGTGGCGAAGTCTTTCCACCGACAGAGGAGCAGGTCTATGAAGACCATGTATTCTGCCACTCTCTCTGAGTGTCCCCGCCCGTGGGTCTATGCTGCATCAGATTTCAGAGTGCAGAACAGTTTCTGCTGTGAGCTATCTGAGAAGACGAGGCTGTGTACCGGGAAGTCACTAGGGACTCACTAGGCTGATGCCTGCAAAGGAGGGATGCGCCCACTGTCTGTGGGTAGCGTTGACAGCGGCTGTGTCTGCCCTGTCCATGTCCTCACTGCAGCCTTTCTCCTCAGTCTCCAGGACAGGGCCTGCTGACTCACAGAGCTGACCCACACTAAGTCACTGTCTTCCTGCTGTCCCTCTGCATTCCCAGTTGGGGCGTGAGTGCCTTGGTGCCAGTCCTAACCCAGAGGGAGGAACAGGACTGGAAGGAGAGAGTTTCTTCACTTTCACTTCACTCAGTCCTTTCTTCAACCAATTGCCTCAAATTATCCCAAAATGGTACAGCAGATTCCAAAGATTTATCAGCTTCCAAAAGCTACAATTTTTTTTTGTTCTATTTTTGAAGACAAGGCCTGACTATAGCCCTGGCTGGCTTGGAACTCTCTGTGTAGAAGAGATCTAGTGCTGGCCTCTAAGGCGTGCACCACCACGCCTGCTGAGAAGTGTCCTCATTTCTAGCAGGATGTGACGATGTGGAGCTATATTCCAGCAGTTGAGCAGTTGAGGCAGGAGGATTATGAGTTCAAAGCCACTTGGACTACATAGTGAGGCTTTCTCTCAGGAAAAATGGGGAGGGCCAGGGAAATGGCTTCTTTCTATCTAAATACTTCTGATTGGCATTTTCTGATCCTTTCTATACACACAACATGTATTATGATGTCATATATAGGGAGAGATGGTTTTCTTTTCCTTACTCTGGCTGACCTGGAATTCACTGTGTATCCCAGGCTGGCCTGGAACTCTGCAATCCTGCTGAATCACCTTCCTAAGTATTGAGGCTCTGGGCCTGAGCCACTGCTCCCAGGCCATTAGTCTCTTAGTGAGAATTAAGAATAATTAGGAGGTATATGGGCTTTCAGCTTTCTCAATAGTTAATTGTTTATATGAATGTAAGAATAATGACTATTGTTAATCTCTTACTATTCAAAATAAATTACTCTTTTTAAGGAATTGGGTTTTGTTTTTTTTCGGGACAAGGTTTCTCTGTGTAGCTTGGACTGTCCTGGAACTTGCTTTATAGACCAAGCTGCCCTCCAACTCAGAGACCCACTTGCCTCTGCCTCCTGAGTGTATGTGCCCCCACCGCCCAGCTTGTTTTATCTTTAAAGGAGGAAAGACTGAAGACTGTGATTTTGTGCTAGGTTGTGTTCATAGTTATTGTCAGCCTCATGTGGTCCAGTGGACCACAGATTAGACAAGCCAGATAGACATCTTCCCTCATCTCTGCTTTGATTTCTCCACGATAAAATGAAAACAAAACATCACTGCTCCTCCTGTGTCATATCTTCACTAAGAGAACTTTCACACTTATGAGCCTTTTGTCCCCCAGAGCACCAGAAGCAACGTGAACCCTACTCCATCCGCAATGGAAATTTGGCAAATGGAAATGACTTTTTTTTTTCCAACATGCTGCCCTCATCCCTGTAGAAATGCCGTGACTCCCTAGACAGTTCTGGGAAGAACTGTAGTTTCCTTTATTTTGTACTAGTCAGCTCTTAATTAAGCACTTGAATGGAGAGAAGCAGTGGTGTGCATAATCCAAAATCAGTGGATGCCATTTCTGGTGAATTACACACCTCTTTGCCCCTGCTGCCCTGAGGGGTCCCAAGATTAGCAACAGCAGCAGCAGGCTCCCTTCTACTGCTGCAGGAAAAACAGTTGAGGTGTTAATGAGCCTTTTTGCTGAGTGTAAAACAAAATGTCTTTAACCACTGTTCATTATCTCCAGCTGCTCTTACCAAGGTTGAGAAGGGGAAATTATGCCCCAGGCAGCTCTGGGTGGTGGAAGAGACAATCATCCTTAATAATCCACTGCCCACTTGCCTTTCCCGCCCCCTGTGCACCCACGCACTTCATAGTTGAGAGATACCTGCAAAATTGTAGGAAGTTGGTGAGTTTTATCAAATCCAGTTTAGATAAAACTGCAGTCTTTAGTGTCAGTTGTAGCAACAGGTTTTCTTTCTTTGTTTGCTTTCTCTATTACTGAAATCTCTGCCTTAGCTCCATTACTTAATGACTTGGGAAAAGTCACATTCGAGAGATAAGAGAAAACCAGACCTAGCTCTTGAGGTGCTGATCTCAGCACGGCACAGGCTAAGCTACATCATAAGACCTTATCCCAAAAAACCAAGGGCTAGGACTATAATTGAGTGGTAAGAGTGTATAGCCTGTAAAACAATCTTTGGTTGGATTCCCAACACCACCAAAAGAAGTAAAATCACAAAAAAGTACAGTTGGCAAATGCAGGTAGCGTAGGCCCTTAGCAATGGTTATAGCTTTAGTGTTTTCTTTGTCTTGGTAAAAATTGATATAAAATGTTCAAATTCTATTTGTTCTGTGATTTGGTTTATGGCGGCAGTAGTTTTTACTGAACTAAGCATATGGTTACCTTGTCTCCTAGCAACAAGTATGGATGAGATGACTTGCCAGGGCTAAGAGATGCAGCTTGTTACCTAGAAGAATAAAACAAATGGACTTTGGTAGGGACGAAATGCAGAGATTCACCTGGTTACCTCCTCGCCTGGGTTAGCAGCAGTACATAAGCTCAGGAACATGCCCTCCTTAGCTGGGCTCACAATATTCAGATGTTTGTGCATTCATAAAATGTATGGTTTAGATGGAATCCATACCTTCCTGCATACCTTGGGTAATCCTCTTAGCCCAGACAGCTATCAATTCATTTTTATGTATGAATAAGTTGAAATGTCAATAACTCACTAAAAGTGATAACTTACATGTCTGTTGGCTGGTGAAGAGGTAAAACAATTGTTTAAAAAGGAAGGACTCGGGGGCTGGAGAGATGGTTCAGAGGTTAAGAACACTGACTGCTCTCCCAGAGGTCCTGAGTTCAATTCCCAGCAACCACATGGTGGCTCACAGTCATCTGTAATGAGATCTGGTGTCCTCTTCTGGCTTGCAGACAGACATGGAGGCAGGATGTTGTATTCATGATAAATAAATAAATAAATCTTTAAAAAAAAAAAAAGAAGGAAGGACTCGGCTGGAGAGATGGCTCAGCCGTTAAAGGCTCACAACCCAAACTATAAGAAGGAAGGGCTCACTGTTGAGCAGTGATAGTACAAACCTTTAATCCCAGCACTTGGGAGGCAAAGGCAGGTGGATTTCTGAGTTCCAGGACAGTCGGGGCTACAAAGAGAAACCCTGTCTCGAAAAAAAAAAAATGGACTCAGATGTCACAACACAGATGAATCTTGAAAGCATGTTACATGGAAGATGCCAGTCACATGCCTCACTGATTGTCAAGTGCCATTTATCAAAATGTCCGGAATAAGCATATCTCTAGAAATCATAGACTGAAAGCGATCTTCTGGTTCTGGGGAAATGGGAGGTGACTGATAGTGAGTGTGGAGTTTGTTTAAGATCAGGGCAGAAAATGTTAAGTCAAGCATGGTAGCACAACTCCTATAATCCCAGCACTCAGGGACAGGATTGCCACAGTTTTGAGACCAGATTGGACTAAACAGTGAGTACCAAGCCAGCCAGTGCTACATAGCAAGACCTTGTTTCAAAAACCAAAGAAAGCAGGGAGGAGGAGAGAGGAGCCATTGTTGTAGAGGTGATCGTGCAATTCTAAGTTGGCTAGAAGAAACACTGGATTCTATTTGGAAGATCTAATTTACATGTATGAATGCTTTGCTTTTGTGTGTGTCTGTACACCGTGCCTGGTCCCCTTGGAGGTCAGAAGAGTGTAGGACCCCTGAAACTGGAGTTGCAGGGTTGTGAGTCACCATGTGAAGCTGAGAACCAAACCTGGGTCCTCTACAAGAGCAGTAAGTGCTCCTAACTGCTGAACCATCTCTCCAGCCCTAAGTTACATGTATTTTGTGCTGTGTTGGTTGTATCAAGTCAATTTTTTAAACTTAAAAAAAAAAACTTTCTAAGCCTACAGATTAGCTCACAGTGGATGGTTCAACTTGGGTAAATTTTGTTTCTCTCAGTACTGAATTGAGCTCTCCCCATACCTTGGGCTGGTGACAGCAGCTTTAGCTGGGAAGGAATCAAGATTGAGAGGGTCAAAACAATCAGTAGTGGTCACCATTTGGCCAGCAGCATTCGTGGTTTCTGTTGGGGAATTTTATTCTGTGGAGATGGATGTACCCAATAAAATCGGGGGAAAGAGTCCACTGCCTACAAATCCCAGGTAATCACATTAAGAGATCCAGTCTGCTCTGCCTAATGTTATTGCTGTCTCTCTGTGGAAAGGAAGAATATGACACCCCAGGGGACTAAGTGCATTGTTTACCCAGTCAATCAGCAGTTATAGAGCACCCACAGTGCGCAAAGCCCAGGATTTAAAAAGATAAAACAAATCCTTGCCCTCAGGGATTCACAAAACTAATGGAGCCATTCTCTGTGCCCTCTGGTAACTCACACTGCCAAGGGAGAAACTCAGGCTGGAGGCGGAGGTCTCCAAATCTAATGGGGAAGGGACAGCCACCTAGAAGAGGAATGTCAGAGCACAAAGAGGTCCCTGAGAGTCGCCACATTAATGGATGTGGGTAGGTGGGTGTTGGTTTTGTTTCTTGAAATGGTCTATCTGTAAGATAGACTGGAAATGATACAGCTCAGCAGGCTGGCCTGGGAGTCAACAGCAATCCTCCTGCCTCAGCTTCCCAAATGCTGGTCTCACAAGCGTGACCTCCATGCCCAGCTAATACAGGTGTTTTCCAAACCTAATGTGATACCTTGGTACAGAGATGTCCTTTCTAGGAGACGAAGGCAGAAATGGCAAAGAGTCAGGTGGCCCCAGGTAGCTGGAGTTACAGGCAGTTGTGAGCTGCCTGGTGTGGGTGCTGGGATCGGACTCTGATGCTCCCGGAAGGGCAACCAGCATTGTGACTTGGACTATGAACTTCCCTCAGCCCTCTGAGTGTTGATTACAGAGCTGTGAAACCCCACCTAGAAAAGGAATATTTTGATGATTTGTGTGCTACTGAGCCCAGGGCCTCGTGCATTCTGGGCAAGAGCATTGCCTCTGCTGTCAAACAGCACCAGTAGGTTAAGGATCTCAGAAAAAGTGTCTGTGCTGGATTATTTTAAGTGGTTCTTCAATCCCAGGAGACAGCACTGTGAGCAGCAGCAGAGTCTGGAGTGATGGAATGAAGAACACTGTCTTAGTCAGTGTTCTATTGAAGCAATGAGACACCGTGACCAACGCAAGCTTTTAATTAGGGGCTTGCTTAAAGTTTCAGAAGATTAGTCTGGGATCATCATGGCAGAGAGCATGGTGGCAGGCAGGGAGAAGATGGAGGGGGGTGGGCGTCCAGCCTGAATGTGAAACTGGAAAGAGTCTTTGGGGTGAGGTGACCAGCAGCCCAGGGAATTTTCTCCTCACAGAAGAAGCTGCTATACCAATTTGATCAGTGCAAACACCAGGTACATTTCCCTGGGTCAATATTTTACATCCGGTCTCAGGGTCTCGTAGTGTGCATATGTTCCCTGGAACACCCTGACTCTAAACTACTACATGCGAGCTGACAGGGCTTTCTCTGCCCTCATGCATCCTGCTTCCTAGCCTCCTCTTTAACAACCTCTAGCATCTGTCCATGTCAATAATTGCTCTAAAACTGCAATTGGCTGCACCCTCCACTAAGAAGTCCCTTCCAAGGCTACTGAGCACACAGGGACCTGGAGGACAAGTTGACTTCTGCTCAATTCAGTGACCTTATCTAGTCGTCAACCATAGTTCCTGCCCTCCCACTCTCCACGTAGTTCAGGATGGCCTTGAACTTCTAATCCTGTTTCTACCTGCCAAATCCAAGGAGTAAAGGATCGTACCACCATGCTTGGCTTGAGCTTTCTAATTACGTGTCAATTCTTTGGGACCCACCAGTAGACTCAAAATATGTTCTAAACCAACATCCTGTTTGTCAACTGTACTGACTCCTGCTTCCTGCTGTCAGCCTGTGGAGCCCTGAAGACTCACATTG